GGCGACCCCCCCGGAGCATATTCAAGAATGAGGGGAGGAGAGGAGAAGGAGGAGGAGAAGGAGGGGTTTACCTCCCCTCAGAGCTGCGCTCCAATTCGGCGTTACAGGGAGTTGTAAACGGCTTTTCACTTCTTTTTCTCTCTCTCTCCCTCGCTGGCCGGATCGGCTTGTTCTCAACGAAGCACAGCGTTCGCCTGCTTACTAGGGAGGAAGTGCTGTGGCGGCCCAAGTAGACATGCTCCAGACGAGGACGGTCCTGCGACGCAGACTGCGCAAGCGGATGGCGGCCGCAGGGGTGAGACCCGGCGCCGCGCATTCCGGAGTAGGAGAACTCGGTGCCCGAGCGTCGGGAGACCGTTGGCTCAAGAGCCAGGCGTCTTAATGGGTTCTCCCTCACCTACCTGAAGACAACTGGCCGAGAGGCGGCCTTCGTCTGGCGCTTGTAAAAGGAACACGTCTTTCGGACCGCCTGGGTAGCTTTGTTATTAAGCTTATGCAGTCCCCGTTAAACGGTTATCTCGTTTCCTTCTATTATATACGTACACTGAAGTTCCTTCGCGACCACACTCACGTTCTGGTGTGTCCCCACGACCTCATCTTAGCTTCTACATGTATGAGAGTTGTTTACTCTAGTTGACACCACGCTGTGCTGGCACATGCACACGAGCAGGGCCGGCGCTAGGCATGGGCGAGCGGGGCGGGCGCTCCGGGCCCCGCGCTTACGACAGGGCCCCGCAAGTGACAGAGGGGCCCCGCGGTCACTCGCCGGTTGAACTTTTTGGAAAATTTCAACATCGCCACTACAGATAACTTTCATTGCTGAATTTTCCAAAGGAAAAAAAAAATAGTTAGCTGACCGATGGGCGCGGGGCCCTTCGCCAATTTGCGGATTGCTCCACCCGGACAGAAAAATTCCTGTGTTACAAAACTAACCTCTCCTCGTGGATTTTTCCAAAGGAAAAAATAGCTGGCCGACGGGCGCGGGGCCCTTCGCCAATTTGCAGACTGTTCCACCCGGACAGAAAAATGCCTGTGTTGCCACAATGCCAGCCGGACTGTTCCACCCGGACAGAAAAATGCCACAGCTATCCCACCGCTGCCACCATGACGCGGTTGGGCAGTGAACAGACACGAGACCAGCCTGTGTGAGTGTCAGAACCCATCTGTCGGGCGAGCCCGCGTTTATTCATCTCTCAAACACGCCCCGTCTCCCGTGCGATGGCGCCCTCTCTCGGCCGCTTGCCTAACCCTCCGACAGTCTTCGTGCCGAACGCAGCACCACCAGCCGCAGAACTCGTCCGGTCCGACAATCGGCGCCGAATCCCTTTCGACGGCTATTCCAGGTGTCTTCGTGCCGAACGCAGCCCCACCAGCCGCAGAACTCGTCCCTTGATTCTGCCGCCTCCAAATGACCGTCGCTTTTGTCGGGCCCCCTTTCCAGTCGCAAGTCCCCGCTGAGGGATCCCAAAAGGGTCCCCAGGGGCCCTGGGGACCCTTTTGGAATCCCTCAGCGGGGACTTCCGACTGGAAAGGGGCCAGGGCACGACCTTGGGAAACTCGACAGCTTCCTTTCTTTTTCGTTCTTGAAATTTTTGGGCCAAAAAGACCGCGTTTGGGACGATCGTCGTCACTTTCGTCAGATATACTACAGCCCGGCGGTCCGTCCTTCGGCCGGCTACTAGTGATGCAAAACTATCGATAAATTGACTATCGATAGTGTCCCAGAACTATCGATAGTCGACTATCGATAGTACTATCGATAGTTTTTCGATAGTCGACTATCGATAGTTCTTCGATAGTCGACTATCGATAGTACTATCGATAGTTTTTCGATAGTCGACTATCGATAGTTTTTCGATAGTTTTTCGATAGTCGACTATCGATAGTTTTTCGATAGTCGACTATCGATGGTTTTTTACTATACTGGCGACTAACGATACTATCGCTAGTGCTCTCGATAGTCTTGCACCACTATAGTCCGTTACAACTCAAGAAGGCAGGTCGAGGGTAAGATGGGCCGGGGAGGAGGAAGCAGACGGAACGCTAAAGAGAGAAGGAGGTTCCCCCTCTCTTCTCCGGCGGTTCGTCTGCTTCCTCCTCCCCGGCCCGTCTTGCCCTCGCCCTACCGTTCGCCTCCCCCTTCTTTTTTCTCCCTAACCCCCATCTTCGTCATCACTGAAAGCTGAACCAAAGTTGGGATGGTAAGTGCCTGGGCTAGTTGGTGCCCCGTTTGAAAAAAAAATTAAAGCGATAAATAGACAAGAGGGAGCGACGCAAACTACTAGTGTCGCAAAACTATCCATAGTAAACTGTCGACAGTACTATTGATAGGTTTACGATGGTCGACTATCGATAGTTTTCCGATAGTCGATTAACGATAGTTTTCTGAAATTCGACTATCGATAGTTTTTCGATAGTTTTTCGATAGTCGACTATCAGTACTATCGATGGTTTTTTGATAGTCGACTATCGATAGTACTATCGATAGTTTTTCGATAGTCGACTATCGATAGTACTATCGATAGTTTTTCGATAGTCGACTATCGATAGTACTATCGATAGTTTTTCGATAGTCGACTATCGATAGTACTATCGATAGTTTTTCGATAGTCGACTATCGATATACTATCGATAGTTTTTCGATAGTCGACTATCGATAGTACTATCGATAGTTTTTCGATAGTCGACTATCGATAGTTTTTTTCACTATCGATAGTCAGATTTCTGGCGACTATCGATACTATCGATAGTACTATCGATAGTTTTGCACCACTACCGGCTACACCAGGACAACTGGCGGTCCGTGGGCTCGATATTTGCCCACCGTCAAGCATCACGGCCGCGACTGCACAAGCCCGAACGTCGCGAAGCTCGTCGTGCCGGACTGGCCCGGAGTGCGGTACTGTTCACAATTTTTTATTGTTTGTCGTATCCAAGAGTTTCTATTACTTTCGTTACCTTTTGAGATGTTTACCCGCATCGCACTATCGCCCGAAATAGTAACGTTGTATTGAGTTCCCATGGCTAATCTGTGTTATCGTTGTTTGAACGCTAAACCCAGTACCTAGTTTTTATTTAGCTGAGTTAAACCCTTGTTTGCTCGAGAGCCTTTTGTCTTTGTCTCCCCTCTCCTGGAGCCCGAGTCTTGTAGACAAGCGTGTGTATGAAAGCCGTGGCGGCCCGTGGCGGGTGTGCTTGGTGCGCCACGCTCCACAGCCACGTCCCGTCCCAGTACGGGACGGCCAGCCTTACCCAGTTTCTAAAGCGTACTGTCACCGTACGAGTAGCCTAACGTCACATGGGTATTGCTTTATGTTAGAGGATAGGTCAACACTTTTTTTGTCGTTCCCTTCTGGGTTGGCAACGGCAGTCGAGTCGCGAGAAATCGTCTTGTGTAATTCAGTTGGTGGTCGGACATAGATGGTGACGGTGATACCGCTCTCCGTTGCCTCCGCGGAAAGGAGCTTTTCGAAGTTTAAACTGATCAAGACATACCTCCGCTCAACGATGAAACAAGAACGTCTGTCTGGCTTGGCTACGCTCTCCATAGAGCAGGAAATTTTGTCGACCATTGATAAAACTAGTGTTGTAAATATGTTCAGTGCAAGAAAGGTGAGAAAAGTTGCCTTTTAAGTTTGCAGACAGGCAAAAGGTCCGCTCCCGCCTGTCTGCACATACAGCACGCGGTGAGCCAATGATGACGAAAATATACTTTTACAAAAAGTATATTTACATTACAAGGCGCGCTGCAATGTATATAAAAATTTTCAAGAAAGAGCTTTTCGATAGCGCCATCATGGACGTGGCACGTGCCGTGTTAGCTCTCCGAAGCGATGAACTTGCCCGTCCTAGACTGTGTGATATTCCCATTGGGCTGGGCACTTGCGTAGTGTATTGTTGCTTTCCTTCATATCTTCGTATAGTCTATGTTTTGTAATGTTATTTTCTCGTTTTCCTTGTTGTGACTTTATGGCTGGCGTGCGTCGATAGCACCTTTGTAATTGCTCAGTTCTCTGTTCTGTTCATTTATTACATATATAAAAAACCAAGCCAATCTGCACATAGCACTACTGAATAAATACACACCAGAGATATCCCGCATGATAATGTGCCCGTCTCGTTTTTCTTCATGTTTAGTATAAGCGAAGTTATTTTTAAATTTCAGATTTTGCTTTTTAAACTTTTGTTGACATTTTTTTTTTTTTTTTTACTTTCTTGCCCTGGGCCCCGCGTTATGTAGCGCGGGCCCTGCGCACGAGGATCCGATCAGACGAGTTTGCACGCCGTTTGGCTAGACCTCGGGAAGTCCTAGCAGGGCCGAAGAACGCTATGTTTAGTTACGGCGCCCTGAAGCAATACCACCTAGAAGACAAGGCTTGCGCACCCCCCCCCCCCCCCCGCCTTTCCCTCAAGCGTCATCACTATGGATGCATGCAGTACCGCCTAGGCTGCGTCAGAATCGCCACCAGCGTATGTTTCAGCGTCTCACAACGAGTGTGACGCTAGCACGCTGCAACGCCAAGACGGATGTGTGTTTCGTTTTGCGGTGACATTCGTCAAGCTTCGGCGTTTCTTCCGCTTGGAGCGAATCGGGGATCTAATAACGATGACGTCACGTACAGGCCTTGTGTCCTAGGGAGTATTGGCTGAGGAGGTTCGTCATAGACAAAGTACGCATGAGCCGTAAGTGCGAAATCGAGAGCGGAAGGGAAAATGGCGTGGAAATTCTCAGGATCGTGCTAAGGAGGCGGTGCAGAACCGACAAAGGCGCCACAAGGATAATGAATTACGCAAGCGCCAAGTTGCTGTCACTGTGGAACATGTTACTCGATTGCATAAATGCAATCGAATTTTTAATGCGTTCTAATTACCTGTAGTTTCTATGCCTCTCGGACAGTGGTTGGTGTTTGAAGCATGTTGGCGTGACCAATCAAGTCTTAGAATGTACAAATTCCCCTATTTTCTTCCGTTATTAATTGTAATCAATATTTTATTTTTAGAATATTACTATTACGATGAGGATGACTATAAAGATGAAGAGGAAATCGAAGATCAAATAGATGATTCTAAGGTTCCGACATCTATGACCGAAAAATCAAATAATTTAGATAGCGTCGGATCCCAAGAGTACGGCATAGGATTCCTCGCATTCAGGTACGCAACAACACTGATGGAAAAGAAACTAGATCTGATTGATCATAATCAATGCTCTGCGCAAACAAAAAGCAAAGTTCCTGGTTATTTCATTTGCACAGACGGAGCAGGAACATGTCATGTGAGTAAAGCAACCCTTTTTAATCGTATTTCCTATAACACAAAAAGTCACATAATATATATTATTGCTTTTTACTTCTAAATTAGTAAAGCCTGGCATGCTTAATTCGAAAAGTTTGTTCACCCGTCCGTCCGTCTGCGCCGTTTCCGGCTAAGTTGAATGAAGAAATTGACGTTACCTGACTTTATGTCGCCACCTAATCACATTTCGCGTAAAACTGACCGAGGAAGTTACCTGCACTTTAACTGAACACCAAATGAATGTTTTCTATAATTGAAGCAGGACAATTAAGTTGTACGATTTAGAAACCAATTTATGTTACCCGCTAAATATACTGGTAAAAAATAAAAGAAGTTTACAATTCCCTGTAACGCCGAATTGGAGCGCAGCTCTTGAGGAGGAGAAGGGGAGGGTACGGAGAGGAGGGTACGCCCCTCTTCCTCCGTACCCTCTACTCACCTCTTCCTCTCCTCCCCTTCCCTCCTTCTCTCCTTTTTCCCCTCCCCTTTTCCTCCCTTCCTCCTCCCTCTCTCCCTTATTCATCCTCCTTCTCGCCTCCCTCCTCCTCCTCCCTTCCTTCTCCCCGTGCCCCTCCCCTCCCTCCCTCCTCCCTCGTCACGTCACCCGTGACCCTCTTGACGTCACTCGTGAAGGCCTCGTGAAAGTGGTGACCTTCGTCGCGACCTTCACAAGTGACCTTTGTGACGTCACTCGTGACCCCAGTGACCCTCGTGACGTCACACGTGACGTATCGTGCGACGTCATTATGGGAAACGTCCCATAGTGCAACGCGCGGTTACGCCGACGGCGACGGCGACGCCGCTGAAGGCGCAAACGGCCGCCTAAGAGCTGAGCTCTAAACTGACATCATCTGACATGTCACGTGACCTCTACACTCATTAAACTTCCCCGCTAAACTTAAATGTGAAATGTTAGTATTCCTGCAAAGTATAGCAGGAAAATTGGCGTCCCGTGACCTACAGACTAACTCAGTTTTTTTTTTTTTTTTCAAATTTTATGGGGGACTGAATTTGTTTCCTTGTAAAACTGAAACGTTCCCCCTCATTCATTCCCTCACCATAGGTCTTGGCAGATAAAGGTCGTTCAGTTTGGTTTGGCTGGAAGACTCGCTCAAACATCTTCATTTCGCTTCAAGGTCTAAACAAGGGGTATAAAAATCTGAAGTCTCCTCAAATTGATTCTGTGACAGAACTCTTTCTGCAACATGCGTTAGCAACGTGATGACAAATCAATACATCCTGTTGATGAAAATACCATGTGTAGTTCCAATCGCCCGTTTCCAATTATCATTTGTGTCCGTTTTGCTTGTCTCATTAAGTCTCGGTGCCAACAAACCCATATGCTCCAAAATGAGATGGTTTATTTACTTGCGCATAAAATAATAAAAAGTCGTTCAGAAATCGGCTCCATTTGTGGAGCTCGTTGCCATCCACTTTAGGGGCAGGACGTTTAGCTACGCCATTGTATACCAACTGAGCTGCAGAATTGAAGATAGACACATCAGTCAAATGACAACACATATTGTAAATATTCCTCTAAATTATTTAGGGTTACAAGGGATGTTCCCGCAAAACAGTTATTATACACCATGACAGTGATTAGAGTGTAATTTCTTACTCAGTATTATCGTAAACCGGTAATACAATTTTCCATTTCGATCATTTCTTCGCATGCGTTTGGTCAGAGTATTATCTGAATAGTTGAGTTCGCACACTAATTTGACAAGTAGAAGTTTCAGTCGGCACCAAGGTTTTTTGTTCTATATGGTAGGCTATACGAACTTCCGAAGACATATATATTCGTTTCAGTTTGCGTCCAGACGCCGCGGACGATACCAGCTAATGGAACCCATAATGCAGCGTTAAAACCGCAACTCACTTTGCCTTTCTGCTTAGGATTGCCTGAACGATAATAGAACTCGTATAGATATATAGCGAATTCCACGATTGCGTGTTTACGACGTTGTCTGATTGGTGCCATCAGCTCGTAGCGCCGGTTGCGTCTGGACATAATTATGGTGAAACGAAATATAGTTTCCAGCGATTAGCAAGCAAAACATTAGCAAGCCTATGTAAATACTCGGCACAGCCACAGCAAGAGTTGTGACTCCGTATCGTGCCCTAATGTATTCTTATGTACTTTGCCCTTATTTGCCTTTCACCTTGCATAGAGGGACCATCGACAATACCTGCTCGGAGACACGCACTTATCTAAAACTCTAAAGCAATGTGGATAAATGATGTCACGTGAATGCTAACGCAGTTAGGGTACATCATGATGTAATGCGGGACAATAATGCCACATGACACCTTGACGCAAGGTGAAATCGTGACGTCATGAGACATCGTTTCGTGACATGGCTTTGTGACGTCATTTACCACTTGACGATATGAACGGCGGACGCCCTAGAACACTCTATGCCCTGCATCTTTTCGGGTGAGGGTCAGAGCTCATAAATGTGATCACTGTAAAAGGCAGAGGGGAGCGATCTCTATACAACATCCGGTCAACTATTCCATCTAAAACAATTTTGTGATTGATCGAACTTTTTTTCGTAGAAGTAAAGTTAACTTTTGGAGAGCAAGCACATGCATTGTTTTCATTCATCCCTCTGAAAATACAATTTTAAGACTTGACCTCTCAAAGTAAGTAAAAATGCATATTTGCTTCCCCTCTACTATAGACAAGGCTCCAGTCACGAGGCGATTTTTGGTGCCACGGCCGGTACTTCGAGTCTGGCGTGTGGGCGGAAGTCGCAATGCGGGTACGGCATTTTTGTGTTATTTTGGAAGAAACCAGAATAAAAGCTGCCTTCATGACAAAAGGTCGTGTCTTGGGCTTTACCTTAAGAGCCGGAAAATATGTCAAGGTCTGTTTTTACGTCATTTCTTCCTCTTCGTTTTGTATGAGAACGTGGATAGGAGCCGTGGAAAAGAAAAAAAACAAAACAGACTCAGTAGGGCCACAATTGCTTGTGCGGGATGCACTTTTGTTTGACTTGTGGTCGTAAGATTTATTTATTTTGTTCAAAATTTAACGCGGCACAACTCTCAAGTTGTCCCGACCACACCCGCGGACCACGTTCAGTGCACCTTTATGTGCAAACAGACGTGCTATCGTTCAAACTGTCATCTGCTCTTCTGCTGAGGGCTTGGTTTCGACATGAAGTAATTCGACCACCTACACTTTCTTCTTACATAATGTTTTCCTCCATTGCTTTGAACACACAAGATTGCACCGTCACCATTCGGACCACGACAAGCCTAGATGACATCCGCCCTTCCGCGTCATTCGGCTTCCTGCAACCGCCTACATCTGATGGCAATAAACTGCCGCTGATTGGTGTGAACTTCGACGCCAGGGGACCAAGAGCGGGTATGGCCATGAACTGCGCTCTACAGAAAGAGACGTCACTCACTGTCTGGAGGGGCTCAGAGCCGACATGAGCCCTTCTTAATATACCAAAAATCAGAGTCGAGAGTGATGTCACCCTCTGGCTCTTTATCATCCCTCAAAAGACATGCGACGCTCGATGTATGTACCACTGAGAATGATCGGCCAGTCTAGGGATCGGACGAAGTTTTCTTTTAGGTGCCGACGACGTCTCAGACTTCGAAAAGGAAATCATTGAACGGTCAAAACAAGTGGGTTTGGTGTCTGTGAACCGTAGCTTTGGTTGCGACTCTGCCGGGGAAGCCTTTCACGCAGAACCGGCACCACGTGGCCTCTCATGTCGCTCACAAATGCCCACTGCACGTTCTTGTCAACCTTACACCGTTTCAAAGAATTTGACATCGCTGAAAGGGCCCTAAAAATTTTATACACGAAAGTGAGGTGTCGTCTGCTTACAGCGATAGGCTGCACGCATAGACAAGAGTGGTTGATCACGGGACGCGGGAAAACACGACACCCCAGGTCGGGATGGTTTGGAGGAGCGAGAGAAACTCGAGTAGCAGGACAACTCAAACTCTGACGCCACTGCACTGATGTAAATCGCGTGAAAACTTCAAAATCGGCTTATGGAATTTTTTTTTAGAGCGCAGCTTTTAGGCGCGTGTTTCCGTGTTTCGCGTCGTCGGCGTCAGCGTCGGCTTAACCGCGCTAAATTTAGAGAAAATTTACGTCACGTGACCTCAACACCAATTCAATTTCCCAATAAATTTAGTGGGTAAATTCAGTTCCTCAGCTATATTTAGCGGACAAATTCAGTTCCTCCGCTAGAGTTAGCGGACAAATCGATGTCGCATGACCTCAACACCTTTTAAATTCCCCGCTAAATTTTGCGAAAAACTTTGCAGGGAATTCAATTGGTGTCGAATCTGTTCATAGGTGACATGACACCAAGTCATGTGGCGTCATTTTCGCCGCTAAATTCAGCTCGAAAACTTAATTGGAGGAGGAGGGGAGAAAGAGAGTGTACAGAGGAGCAGGGGCATACCCTCCTCTCCGCTACCTCCCCTTCTCCTCCTCAAGAGCTGCGCTTTATTTTTGCGTTACAGAGACTTGCAAACGTCTTTCATTTTAGAGCGCAGTCTTAGGAGCCCGTTTCCGGCTTGAGCGCCGCCGCCCTCGACGGAACCGCGCGGTGCAATATGGGAAATGGCCCATAATGCACCGCGCGAGTCCCCCCCCGGAGTCACGTGACCCCCCAAGGTCACCTGACCCCCTTCCCCCGAGGTCACGTGACCCCCCGAGGTCACGTGACCCCCCGAGGTCACGTGACCCCCTCCCCCGAGGTCATGTGACCCCCGAAGAAATGATCAGTGACGTCCCTGATGACGTTACCGGCATCCCCATACTCATCAGTGACGTCATACCAATGACGTCACTGATGACGTCATTGGTATCCCCATCGTCATCGGCATCGTGACGTAACCCCCAGGTCACGTGACCCCCCAAGGTCACGTGATCTCCCCCAGTACGCTTCCCTCCTCCTCCTCAAGAGCTGCGCTCTAATTCGGCGTTACAGGGAGTTGTAAACGGTTTTCACTTTTTTAGAGCGCAGCTCTTAGGGGCCCGTTCCCGGCTTGAGCGGCGTCGCCGTCGCCGTCGCCGTCGGCGTCGCCGTTGGCGTCACCGTCGGCGTCGGCGTAACCAAGGTCACCCCAAGGTCACATGACCCCGAAGGTCACGCGACCCCCAAGGTCATCCCAAAATCACGTGACCCACAAGGTCACCCCAATGTCACGTGACCCATCCCCAGAGGTCACGTGACCCCTCCCCAGGGTCACATGACCCCCCGAGGTCACGTGACCCCCCTGAGGTCACGTGACCCTCGCAAGTCACGTGACACCCCCGAGGTCACGTGACCCCCCCCCCCCCCCCCCCGAGGTCACGTGACCCCCGAAAATCACGTGACACCCCTCGAGGTCACGTGATCCCCCGAGGTCACGTGGCCCACCCTGAGGTCACGTGACCACCCCCAGGATCACGAACCCCCCCGCCGAGGTCACCTGACCTCCCAGATGACGTCACCGGCATCCGCATCGTCATCGTCATCATCACTGATGACGTCATCAGTGACGTCAATGATGACCTCACCGGCATCCGCATCGTCATCGTCATCATCACTGATGATGACGTCAACGGCATCCACATCGTCATTGTCATAATCACGGATGACGTCATCAGTGACGTCACTGATGACGTCACCGACATCCGCATCGTCATCGTCATCATCGCTGATGACGTCATCGGAGTCCGCATCGTCAACGTCACTGATGACGTCATCAGTGACGTCACTAATGACATCATCGGCATCGTCACGTGACCCCCCCAGGTCACTTCACCCCCCCCCCCCCCCAGTACCCTTCCCTCCTCCTCCTCAAGAGCTGCGCTCTAATTCGGCGTTACAGGGAGTTGTAAACGGCTTTCACTTTTTCTTCACAAATACGGATTTTCTAAGTGTCAAATTTTTAGGGTAATGTCCAGGCGTCGTTTTCAATCGTTTCGGATGATAAAATAAGTATGATTTTGACCTGTTAGTGCCCTTTTAAAGGACACGTCGGGCCCCTTAGGCCCGCTCCAGACGGGACAATTTCTCCCAGCAACTTGACGTCACAACATCAGCAACACGCGCCACCCGCGTTCACACGCAGCAATCAACAGCTGCAATTTGCCATCATTATTAATTTTTATTTTTCTTCCACTATTTAGACACACAGTTACGCGCTAGGAACGTGCTTTTATACATTTAAATGATGCTAAAAATACTAACACACATTTCTGAAACCATTTATTTAAACCAAAATGATCAATATTTTACCAGACCCAAGCCTTTTGTTGTCATCAACACCGGCACGGGGTGTCACGTGAAAATATCGAGCCCCTGATTGGCTGCTGCCGCTTCAAACGTCTCCGAATTACTTCGAGTAGCTCGCTTGTTTTCAGCCGAACCCGATATCAGGAATTCATGTCGGTCTAGTGAAAGCTAGGGAACAACTCGCCAGCAACCCCAAAATTGCTGAGAAAGTTACCCCGTCTGAAGCGGGCCTTAGAAAACTTCGACAAACATCTCAATCCTTCCACACATGTTTAAGGGTACGTCAGGGCATTTCAGAAATCCTTGTGCGCCCCACGAAAGGTGTTTCAGTGTTGATATAATCAAATATCCTTCTTTAAGCCGACGATAACGTCGTATATCGGTCTGTTCGGGATTCCAATGAAAGTGATGTTTCGCAACGTGTTAAGGACTACATTTCTGGGTGGTGTAAAAGGTAGCAGATAAAGCTAACAATGATGAATGCCATCATGGGGAGTTTACACAAGAACTAAAACACTTATTTTTTCGTACAGCCTAAATGGCACTGCACTGAGTGTTACTTCAAAGGCAAAGTATATTGTATATTTGACAGAAATCGTACTCGGCAGTCCCATATCAATAAAATAACCGTTAAATTCACTGATATATCGCATTTTGTAAAACGCAACTTTCGTAACTGCCCTTCGAAAGTTAAGGGCGCATTATTCGAGTCAAATGTAACTCGCAATCTTGAATACGGTTATGTACAGTGGGATCGCCAAGCACGATAGCTTTGTGATGTCCTCGAAAGAGTTCAAAACAGGGCAGCGAGATTCACAACCGGAATTTACGATTACGCTGTAAGCTCGAGTATCCCGGAAAGCTACCTTCGATCGAAGCTGCTAAGATGCCGTAGGCCCACGTTATGTCTAAAACGTTCATAATATATGGTATAATAGCAAAACGGGCATAGACAGGAGATTATTTCTTCAGCCTTTTCACTTTATCTCACGCACGTTAAATCATCAAAATACTGTTCGCGAATATTTAGCATTTTTTTTCAAATATTCATCTTTTTTTACTCATATCTCTCATTAGTGGAAGTGTTTATCTGAGTCGCATCTCATGATGTAATCAAACAAAGTGTTTTTTTCCCAGAATTATTGACGAGTTCTTTCATCTCGTCGCCTGATTGCGTCAACTGTGTTTGAGTCTGTATAATGATCCCTTTTTTGTTTTGTTTATGTTGTTCCTAGCACTTGCAAACGTTTCATTATTAACCTAAAAAATAATTAATAAATTCGTCGGCCTTTTAAAAAAAACTCGTCGGAGCATTCAACCGAAAACGGCACGTAGACCAGCCCTTCACGCGGTAATTATAATATAAAGTAAATACAGGCCTCTAAAAACTTTTAAATTTGAAGGATATTCAGGCTAAGTAGGCTCGATGTAAACAGTGAATACAGGGGTGCATTTATCGTTGTTAACGGTGGACATCACCGACTTGTTATGCCTGATTCGCATAGTCCCATTCTGCTTGCGCCTTTCAGTACCTACGTCGAGCATCGTAGCTAGCGAGCTGCGATGCCCGACGAGCGAGCGGAATCTCATCATGTGAACCAGTTATAAGCGTCCATTCTGCGACGCCTACGTGGAATGTATTGCCGCATGTGACATTATTCGCACGGAGATTTGCGGTGTAACAAGCCTCGTTAATTTTGCGAAGGCCACTAAAGTACTGAGCCGATATAGAAAGACGTTAAACCAACGATTCAAGCTAGTGGTGCAAAACTATCGATAGTATTATAGATAGGATCGATAGTCGCCAGAAATCTGACTATCGATAGCAAAAGAACACTATTGATAGTGCTATCGATAGTCCACTATCAAAAAACTATCGATAGTACTATCGATAGTTCTGCGACACTTTCGATAGTTTTAGAAAAACTATCGATTGTATTGATAGTTTTGCATCACTAATTAAAGCAGCAAAAAAAGAACGGGGACTCACACCGATGCCACAACACCGCAATCCAGCGATTTGTTTATGGGGCGTCGGCGCACGGAGGCGCTTCTTGCCCACACCCCATCGCGCATCCGCGCCGGCGGTGGCCTATAACTCCCCCTCCCTCTTCCTCTCCTAGTACTACGCTGGGATTGACAGTCCTCAGGGCATAATCCCCCACACTTTACTTCTTCGGCTCGTTATGCCCCAGCATCGATTCGACGCCAACCCTAACCCAAATGCTTGACAAGGGTTTCATGGTAACCGCGCACAAGTGCCCATAGGGGGCTCATTGGGAATGAATGAGTTCCAATCAACTGTCGCTAGCCGTGGGTGGCCCCTGTGTGCTCCCTTGAGTACGTCAACGAGCTTTGCGATGAAACTATTTAAATAAACTGTTCTTGAATTTACACCACAATAAAACCTCTAGTTCAGTGGCATTCCGTGTGAAGTTACTTGCTTTGCAGTTTTGACAACATATTTGAATAAAGTCCTCAACATATTCCCTTTCATGTATACAGTTATTGCCACAATAACGACCCTTCTCGCCATCAGTAAGCAGAGACGCGGGTAGCTATTGGCTAAGAGCACGCGCCAAGGAAAGGGTCAGCGTCACCTGTACGTTGTTGTATTACACAAATGATAAAATGACATAGAGGTCAAAACATACGCCACAAGCTGTGTCGTCAGTATTGCATTTTATGTCATTCTCTAGTGTGTGTGTGTTTTTTTTTACAAACTTAGATATTAATCCTTTTCAACTATTGGCATGTTATTACAGCTTGTATTTCGCTCCCACTTTTTTAGAACTGAGTTAAAGAACGGGTTTCTTCAAGTCTATGTAGAAGTGCGCCCTGCTTGCCATCCGAATGGCAATCGGGTTTACGCTGAACTTGATGCTACTCTCCTCTGGACAAATATAATGATCAGGCTTGCTTCCGAGGGTCAGTAGAACAGTTCTCGTCTGGACATTCTAAAAACAAAATTATTTAGAAAAAAAATTACCTCAGCATATCTATGCTGGGGAAATTTTGATGAATAGGTAACACCTATTCATTAAAATTCTTAGATAGAATAATTATTTGCAGCATAATGACTGCTAATATAGTCAAGGTTTAATTGCAGTTCTTCATTCCCGAATATCAGGGATGTTAGAAATATTCGTACTTTATGAGAATAGCGGCATAATTTACTTGTGCTGCAAATTTACGCATTGAAATATACTGTTTTTTGAGACCCTCAATGGTCGACACAAAAACTCCTAAAACAGATGCATTCATTGTCGAAGCAAGAACTGGAGGTGTACTCGTTTGTTTGTTGTGCGCATGTTTGTTTCTTGTAGAAGAAAGTCAGCGTAATTATTGCTAATGCGCTGCAACGTGAAAAAAAACTGCAAACCGGTGCAACATTTTCTGCACTGCTGCTAGCAAATCACTTAAAGAAATACATGTTATGTTTCTTGGACAAACATTTCGAATCTCCATACATATATACAAAAAAACTCTTTGAGGCCAATAATCTATTATTTCCTTTTCTCAGGGAGACAGCGGAGGACCCTTGATGTACGAACATGACGGCCGGTGGACTCTCGCTGGTGTGCTTTCTATCGGGCCAGACAACTGCTATCACCCGGAGATACCTTCGCTCTTTGTAAAGGTCTCGTACTTCGTGGACTCGCTTATTTACAAATTTCTGCAACCTGGAAATCACAGTGACAGAAATGCCATATGTGCTACGGACGATGCTCGTAAAGATTGTGTAACTAAGGCTTCTCAGTCCTTCAACACCTCTGTACAATTATAAGACATCTTGAAGAAATATATATGCAGTTACCAGAAAACGAAATAATTTCTAGCCTGTATGCAGTTTTTTTTTTTTTATTGCCCCAGTTTATGATCTTACTTGCTTCGTGCAAATATGTGTTATAGCGATTGATAAAAGCTGTTAATGAAACTACACTGAGCACGCTGCCGAGCTGGTGGAAGTGGCCTGTCTTGTTACTTTTTCTACCACAGTCAAAAACTTTTTTATATTTCTGGAAAAGACCCTGGTTAGATTCATGATGAAACTGTGTTTCCTCCCGCTATACCCATGTTCGAAAGTCAATAAAGTAACTTTTGCTTTTTTTTTCCGTAGTTTTGTGAAAGCTTTCCTGGTCACAAAATTTACATTTATTTTCCTAGCAGGGTTATTCCGAAAGAACACTCTCAGGAATTATTTTTCAGAAATTTATTAAAGGTGAACTCCGCTCAATTCTGAAAATTTAAGTAGAATGAGTGATTTGACATTAGCAAGCACTAATAAAAAAGTATACGTCATTTGCTTCGCGAAAAATTAGATATATATATATTGTTAAATCTACTTTAATCATGAGCAGAAATCGAAACCGAAACTTCGGCTCCGTCTGGCAACATTGTCCTCGGACCGCCAAAAACATGGCTATCACGGGGTACGAGATGTCACGTGATCCAGTAGGCAACGACGGGCGGGATCGGAGCAGACCGGCGAGCCACCGGTGGGGCGGGCGTGTGCCAAGCGCAAGTGTCGTCTGCGCCGCACTTTTCACCACGTTTTGGTGTCCACGGCATCGGACGACGTCTGCACAACCGCGGAATCAGTCTGCGCACGTAGTGGGAACGAAACTCCGACAGACAATAATCACGAACGGTGAGACGACGACGGCAACTGTGACGCAGGAGAAAGTGGTAACGGCAGGAGGGCAGGACGGTTCCCAAATGGCGCGCTACGCAGCCGTATTATGCCAATCACGTGGACACCACTGGGCGCCGAGAGCAAACGTAACTGACGTCACCCGTTAAGCCTGGTTCACAGACTTCCGCCACTCCGACCAGAATGCGACTGCAACAGCTCCCGAAGTTTATAATCTTTAGAATTACTATTGCAACGGGACGGACGGTTGTAAGCGGCTGAAAGGGATACTACAACGAAATTTCGGCACTTCTTTCTTGGTCTATATGTGTTCAAATGAGCAGTATCACATCGGATACAAAAATGTCTTGTCAGAAAAGACACAAAAATGAATTGTAAAACAAATCAAACGACTAGCAAAGGGCACCTGGTGGTTGTCGCTAATGCATCGTTTGTAGTTCCCGTCTAGGAACCTTGACAGGTAGTGACGATAACTGCCTTGTTTCTGGCCACCGCGAGGGAACAAGGGAAGTAGGAACTCCTCTCTCCCCGAGAATCTATTTTATGCGTCCCGAAAGTCACTATTGTCCCTCCACAAGATTACAAAAGATTAACCCGTCACTCAAAATTCGTACAAAAGCAGCCGCTTCGGTGGCTGGAACGACTCCGACATCCTCTCGACGTCAGCCTCGCCGCACCTTTGCTCGTCCCGAGACGAACTACGTCACGATTGCGTCGGATGTTGCGTGCTCTTCTCTGGCTGCTCTTCGATCGCTTGCCAAAGTGGTTCGTCTATAACTATAAATACAGCCATCAGGCTCAAAATAGAAACGTGCGATTGTCATTTACGGATATTGTGGGTCATATTCAACCTATTTTTGAACACGATGGCTATATTTCAAATTTCGTTGAAGTATCCGTTTGAAACGCCGTCATCATAGCAACCCGTACAAGGATTAAAGGGACACTGTCAGGGTATTTATGCTCGCCAAGGCTTTTATTTGTACGTGACATATAGTAAGAGCCCAAGTACACAGAAGATAATTCGCGGTTTGAAATTATTTTTTTTTTTCGCCCGAAAACCACCGGTGGAGAACTTGCCGGCTCGAGTCACGCTCAGTCTCTTCTCTGTGGTCACGAGCCGTTCTCTATGGTTTAGACACAACCACCAAATTTAATCAAGGTCGTTGGTCATCGAAGACACACACAGAATATTAGAAATAGAAAAGAAATATGATACTAATTTTTTTTTGTGGCTTTTAAAAATCTGCAAAACACTGATTGGAGAAAAAAAGCTGCACAGCCGCGTGACTTCCGCCAAGTCTCTTCTCTATATTTCTTCTTCCTCTCCAGTCTAGTTGCGGTTTCGGTTCAATCAAGCAGTTACGTGTTTTTACTTCATTGAAAATATATCTGACGCTGCAGGGCGTTTTCAGATAAAATCGAACAACCATGCCCGGTTACAATTTTAGTTTTGATGAAAAAAGATATTTTGCTGGCTTCATGTCAAGAAAAATAAAACCAATCCTTTGTTTTGAAAAAAAGAAATTGTCTATGCTAACAAAATGTGCGAGCACCGTCGCAGTCACGTGCGCGTTTTGTGTATCGCGTGATGTTGGCAATTTGCGCTGTTCTGTTCTGGCTACGGCTCTAATGTTTACTAACAAAGGAGGTATAGGAAGAATTTACAAAAAGTATGAATCACCAACTATTAGGCTCGTTATTTTGAGAAACAAAATTGCAAATACGGCGCATTGCGCAATAACGCTTCGCAAACATATCAGCCCACAACCTTGGCGGTAGTATGATGTAGGAGGTAGTGCGCGGCAGAACCTGAACCTGCGCCGCCTGTGAGCGCCAATAGATCCGCCGCCGTGGAGGGCCACACAACGCTAAAAAAAATATTGCAAAAAAAAAACAAAGAATTGCGATGGAAGGAGATTGTTTGTAACTTAATTTTATGACAGCAGTATGGAGAATCGTGGAATTCAAATTGAGTACGCTCATGCGACCTACGTCAGTGATGGTGCAGCAATAAAATCATCTGGTGGGCTAGTTGGGTAAACATCACTGAAGAATAGCGCAAGGACGACGGAGGGAAGAACGAGAAGACTCCTTCCTGTGACGCTCTCGTTCTGCCCTCGGCTTCTTGCTTTCAGAAGTTCGGACATAGCGACAATATTTCGCTATGACTGTTTGGCCTTTGCGGGCACAATTTGGCAGGGGACTCACCGTGGCAGTTCCCAACAAACGCTCTCTTGTCAGCGTCAGCGATGACGGCTGCGTCTTCGGCTTTCTATGCGGTGGGTATGCCGTGTGCTTCCGCTGTCCGCACAGTTCCTTTACCTCGGAAACATAATGTTACGTCGAGCACTCATCCATAATGAAGAGACAATTTGGAAAAGTCGTAAGCTTTCGCTTGGCATGGCTGCAACATTTCGGCTTTAAATATCTTTCAGCAATATTTTGGCACGGACGTGATTAATCGTGGAGCCCTGCGGGCGGCGTTCATCACTACGTTAAAAAGTTTTGCATTTGCAAATTATTTGAAATTCTATGAGGAGAATTTTGAAAATGCGGAGACCACACGAGAAAGGGGCATGTCTAGCATCGTAGTTTTTTTTTAATAATATTCATTTTGCTGGAAATAATACCTTTATGAACGCACTCGGAGTGCGATCAGCGGTTTCACACCATAAACTAATATAAAGAATCATTGCTGTTTAATTTGCTATCAGCATTAAGATCAGGTTTTTAGATACACGGATGTAATTTATACATATATATGACTCGTGTAAAGGAAGAAATTTAAATGGGATGCTTTTGCATACTAAACTTGCAGCGGTGGAATAGGAACCCACTTGACTACCGCTCAAATGGCGGCCGGCTCCGCTTCACTTTATTAAAGATATTTGCGTAGTACATTCAACGGCAGTCATACTCCTTAAATCGCTATAATATACCTCAAAAAAGTAAACATACAACACGGTAAGCCACACAGAGCTTGTGGCTGTCTCTTTTGTGTTCTCTTGCTCCGTGTTTTTAATAAAATAAGATCATTAACTTTCCTCTGTTTCTACCCTTCCTTTGTTGAGCGATATCAGGTGATTCACTAGAGGGGATACATCTCATTTCGAGGAAGTACAATAGAATTGACGCGTACTATCGCGGACAATATGAGCTGAAACAGCGCTCCGGCCTGTGCACGGTACTATCTGCGCCGCCTGTCGCCTTGCCCCGCACACATGGCGCACCCGGAGTACGAGATAAATTCACACTTGCGCTCGCTGCGCCACTGCGCTCTTCCGGCCGTCTGCAAGCGAGACGGCGTGTGCAACAGCGGGCATGTGTGTGGTAGGGCGATGGGGGAACAAAATATTTCACTTGTCGTCCCTCTTCTGCAATTGATTTACTTTACTCTATCGCGCCAAATCTCGTAGAAGAAACCGCTGACTGGTGAAGAAACAATATTGAAGTGTCTGAAATTTCAGCTGCGATTATCGTTTGTGAGAGTCAGATCAAAAGACCTTGCAGGTTGTTTTTGTTTGATTATAGGGGCATGCACAAAGTAGGACATCGTAAAGTATAGGCCAATATCTCTATGCCGGATTTAGTCCGACTCTAAGGTATTTACTTTTTTTGTCCTTTTTCATCGATCACAGATGTTTAAAAAAAGGTTTTAATTATAACCTTAATTGGTATTAAAAGGGTTAAAAGTATTATTTCTTTATTACTGGGCCCAGGTGTTTGTTTCAAGCAAAACAAGTTGCTGACAAGACACCAGTTTTTTGTTGACGAACCTAGTCCTAATAAGGTGGGACAAACAGTCATATATTTGTCAAGAGGAGGAGATTGAAATTTAATGGAAAGAACATTTCCAGAGGACATTGTCAGACACAAAAGATTAGTAGTCGGCGTGGAAGTTCAACTGCACTATACAAGAAGATCGGGATGAAGGAGGCACCCCTCAAGAAAGTATGCGTTGTTAACGGCGTCGAACAGTGTGTCGCAACCGTAGCATCAAGCTTTGTTCCAATCGGCTGAAGTCCGCTTCAGGGGGTTCTGAGGCGCAGTAAACCTTACAAAATAATTTACTACCGCGTCATTCTCCCCTGCCCCGTGACCACGGCTCCCATCCTGTCTGGTAAGAAATC